TCCCAGGACGCTTGTATGTGCCCTAGAAGTTTCCCATGAAGATCTCTTTTAGGTCCGCCCAACTTTGGATTCTGTTGGGCGGAAGGTGTTCCAACTATGTTCACGCCAAATCAGCCAGGAATAATAGAAGGTTGCGGATAATGGAATCATCATTATCCGCTCTACTAGCTTAGCAAGCAAGCCGATAATCCTCAAGCCACAGTCTGGGGTTCGTTTCCTCGGAGTATTTCAGGATGTTGGTTGGTGGTTGGTACCGTGGAGGGAAGGCGGTGTTGAGGATGTGTCGGCCAAAGGCCTGAGGTCCTAGTAGGCCAGGGCTTAGGCCTCGGTCCTTGCCATTGTCATGGCGTCCGCCACGACAAGGGTGGTAGCCGTGGCTAGATCCCTCCCCTACATCGCCATGGGCACGCCTATGGGCGTCAAGTGTGTCACGTGCGTCACGGTCACGTCTGAGACGCTCATGCACCGAGACCGCGGTGCGTAGCCTGCCACCTTGCGGCGTCTGGTGGACTGACACGTCTTTGTTGGGTCGCTCCGAGGGCGTGCGTTGGCTGGCGTCGAGCTCACGTCGTTGGGACAACGAGCTCTCGGCCTGCTGCGCCGCCGTACGCTCGAGTAGCGTGCGAATCTCATGATAGGCCCGATGGTCTTCGGGCGTTGTGGGCCCTAGAAGCCCCCGGAGCAAGGCCGCCATAGCAGCAATGTTCTGGCTCGCCTGAGCGAAGTGCGGGAGTGCTTCATCATCATCGATGATCCTTCGGTTCACATCGCGAGCCATGGCACGTGCACGTCCATCGTCTCCGTGGCACTCGATCTCCCGATCGAGCTCCGCGTGTTTCTTCTCGAGCTAGAGTCGTGCTTCCTTGAGCTCTAGGTGCTAGGCCTTCAGCTGCTCCACCCGTAGGCGGGGTGGGGCCCCTGACTCCCCCTCGACCTCATCGTCGAGGTCGTTCATCGGGGTAGCCTCCTCTTTGTGGATGCTTTCGACATGTCCCTCGGGGATACCCGCCATAAAACACTCACGAGAGAGGTGATGGCTACCCCTACTAGAGTCAGAGCTGGAGGGCAACTCTGATTCTGGTAGGTTCGGGGTTTGATGGATTCGAGTCCCAATTGATGCGATGTGTTGTGATGCCAGTCGAGTTGAGTCCTTTCTCATGGGATGCCCTGCTTTCCTTTTTATAGGCCAAGGGAAAGCACGGGTTACAGTCGAGGGAAAAGAGGAGAAGGAGAAGGAGAAGAAGTCCTCCAGGATCGCCGGGTCCTTCTTTTTCCTTCACGTGGGTCCCACCGACCCTGTAGACATCATCAGGGACAGCTCCACGTCGCGGCCCTATCCGTCACTAGCGCCATGCACAGGCGTCGTCTCCCGGTCGTGGCGCTCCACTCCATCGTGATGGATGTCGTGGTGGACTGACGCGCCTGTCAGTGCCCGTACGAGGGTTAGGCAGAACAGCACTGGTACGCCCGACACTGTTCCTGATGTGAATCCCTAGTTATGGCCCGTCACGGCCACAAGTTATATCGGGTCATGCCGGTCGCCTCCCTGGTGTCAGAGATTTGACCCAGGCCCATTCTCTTGGACCTGGAGTGGTTGGCGGTGGTATGGGTCTCCGTCGGGCGAGACGGATCCCCTGGCCTTGGGGTCGGTCGAGGCGGAGTCCCCCCAGAGGCTAGGCGAGGCAGAGTGTAAACCCAAGGGTCGGGCGAGGCGGAGTCCTCCCCCAGAGGTCGTGCGAGGCGGAGCCCATAGCCTCGGTGTCGGGCGAGGCGGAGCCCGTCCCTAGAGGTCGGGCGAGGCGGAGTGCAGACCCAAGGGTCGGGTGAGGCGAAGCCCGCGGCCTCGGGGTCAGACGAGGCAGAGTCCTCTCCTAGAGGCCGGGCGAGGCAGAGCGTAGACCCAAGGGCCGGGCAAGGCGGAGCGTAGACCCAAGGGTTGAGCGAGGCAGAGCCGGTGGCCTCGGGGTCGGGCGAAGCGGAGTCCTCCCCTAGAGGCCAGGCGAGGCGGAACCAGCCCTCAGAGGTCGGACGAGGCGGTGTCCTCCCCCAGAGGCCGGGCGAGGCGGAACCAGCTCTCATAGGTCGGGCGAGGCGGAGCTTGCTCACCTGGGGATCGGTTGGAGCTGTAGTCATGCTCTTGACTGCTCGGATGTATTAATGTTGATGGTTGTTAGCTCCTCCTCTTCGGATACCCTAGTATTGGTCCCCGACAATTATATACAGTGATTTTTTTTCATTGAAATTCACAAATCCTCTTGGGTGTTCGTATTTCATGTATTTATTTCAAAAAGCAGCATTAAGAATACTTAATGACTATATATATAGTGATTTTCCATCGAAATTCTCAAAATTTGTCGAGGTCCGGCTGATCCCAAGTGGCAAACTTTAGGCTCCATCCTTGTACGAGTACTCTATTTTCATGTATTTATTCCAGAAAGCTATGTTAATATTTTTAGGCCTCCATTCGAACACAAAAACTTTACAAGGATTGTACATGAATTTCATAGAAAACGATTCCTTTTCAATTGGAAAAACACACGAAAAATAGTCTTGCATTCCATAGGAGGGCTTGGTGGGAGGTGATGTACCCGTTGTCAATGAGACAACTGTCAACGCAAGATTTATTGCCTCAGCATTGGAGATGCTTATATGTGACAATCAGACCCCAGTTTGCATTGCGAAGTCCATTTTCCATCTTGAATTGTTTATGCAGGGTAAACAAACGGCTTTATAAAATCAGTTTTTTTGTTTCTCTTCAGTCAACTGAAATCTTCCTTACTCACTGATCAACTTTTTACAAGCAACCAGCTAGGGAAAGTAAAGTAAAGTTGCTATAGTATGAATTACAAAAATACAAACTAAGTTCAAAGTTGTAGCTTCACTGAAATTCTTTAGTGAAGTCAAAAGGAATATAATTAAATTAAAAAATAGAAACGATCAAGTGAATATGCAACTCTTTTGAAAGAAAGCTTAAAATTTAAGAAAAACTTGAGGTGATTGATAGATGTTCAACCACAAGTTCCTAATAATGGAAGAAATTGTGTAATAAAAGATTAAAATTTTTAAAAGGTCAAAACGTGACACATATGCCAGGTTATGGGTCGGCTTGGATCTTATTTTTATAGTGAGAATTGGGATTCTTGATAGTGAATTCAGAATTTGAATTCTTTTTCTCGAATACGTAAAAGATTTGCGTATCATTATATTAAGTAGAAGAGTTTAAGCAAACATATAACGTGCTTCTATTGAGCGCCGAAGGAGGTCAACCAAACATAGTCGTAGCTGGACCATCCTAGCAAAATACCTCTTGTTTCGATATTACATAAAAGGAAACAACCAATATCGATGCAGCGGTGCGACCTAGAAGGTGTCCTTGCGTCTTCGTGGCTTCTGGACAAGCCCTTTCCAACGGCCAGGAAGAGTGCGTCCAGTGCCTCGGCAGTGGACGCGGTCAGGTTGCCGTCACAGAGCTTGTCAAAGGCCTCGAGCTCCGATGCGGATGGCGCTGATGGACCCTTGGTGTAGCCCATACGCTGCATGATCAGCACATCTCCTCGCTTGGAAGCATGTACTCGGGAGAGGCTCTGAGCCGCCAACCGCCTGCTCCGCCACGGCATCACCTGCTTAGCAGGGGCTGCTTGGGAGGCTCACGAATAAGCGGAGAGTCCCTCTTACGCTTCACTTTGTTGATGAAGCTATCGAGGCGGCGTTTGGCGAACCCATCGTTATCCACAGTCTTGTGTCCATCCACCGGAAGTGAACTGGGAGGGCCAGCATCCACCGTGAGGTTCGCTGGTCCGAAGCCTGGCGGATAGTTGTGCTCCGTGTGTGTCTCTGGCAAGTCCATTGCCCACTGAATGGGGCGTGGGGGTGGTGTCCGCAGCTCGCAGGAGACCGCCGTTGGGTCCTCATCCACCAGCTGGGGGGCCACCACCGCCGGGGCTGCATCTTGTAGCTGGGGGGCGCTGAAGTTGACGCCAGGCGCTCAAGGGAAGGCCACGCGACGATCCGACAGCCGACGAGCAAGGCTGTGAATTCCTCTAACATCGGGTCCTCCGTGATGTCGCGATCATGTGTGTCGTCCAGGTATAGCGTCAGCGTCAACGGGTCGGGCTCGACGAAGCCCGTCTCGTTGGCCAGCTCACCGTGCCCTGCCATGGTGGTGGGTTCATCGTGACCTTCCTGGGCAGCACTGTCGGCAGTCGCAGTGTTGTCCAGCGCCGCAGTGTTGCCGTCATCCCTTGGCCGCACCCGATGTCTGCGACGTCAACGTCGACGTCGGCGTCGCCGTCCTTTGTCGCAGCACCCAGCGGCATCCGGCATGGCTTCGCCTGAGCCCCGCGTACCTCCTTCTACGCCCAAGCCCGGTGTACCGGCGTGGGGGCGTGGCTAGTCGCTATGACCCTAGAAAGGACGTCGGCGGTGTGCTCCCAAGTCGCTAGGTACGGCGTTCCTTGCCGAACTCATCCTCTGCGAGAATTTGAATTCTCAATAATGAGAGGTGTTTAGATCTCATTCTCATAGTAATTATTACTTTTACAAAATAAAAGTTTTTAGATAATAAATTTGGGTAGATAGTTGGATTCTAAAATCTCATTCTTATTTTTTCTATCTTATATATTATCCTTAGGAGATCAAATAGGGCTTAATAGAGCGCTTGCGCGGCGAGCTTTGGGGAGTGTTTGGTTGGCTGGTTGAATAAGCCAAAATACTGTTCCGGCTGAATTGTTGTGAGAGAAAAATATTGTTTTAACTGAACGACACTGTTCATGTGAACGGTGACCGCGTGAGTGGGCTGGCCAGCCGAACACGCCTTGGTTTTGCAGCCGTGTAGCTTGGACTCACCCTTGGGTTGGGAAGCTGGAAAGCACATCACCTTGGGAGTCCCGGACAGGACTGTCCTTGTTCTCCCCTTCCTATTCTTCGTTCTTTGTGCTGGAGCAGAGACTAGTCATTTACAGGAGCAGGAGCTGGAGGCTGGAGCTGACGGTTCTTGAGCCATGGATGGGCAGGCTACTGGCAAGTGGCGCGGCACGGCGAGCGGGGTGGTGAGCGCGCCCGTGGACCGCGTGTGGGAGCTGGTGTCCGCCACGTCTCGGCTGCGCGAGTGGATGCCCATGGTGGAGTCGTGCACCACGGTGTCCGGGGACGAGGGCGTGCCGGGCTACGTGCGCCTCGTGCGCGGCGGCCTCATGTTCACCCAGCACCTGCAGCAGGCGTCGTCGTCGTGGGTCAGGGAGAGGCAGCGGCGGATGTCGGAAAAATTTTAAGGGGCCGTAAAAAATACAATAACTACTCGATTTTAAGTCTTAACCCTGTCTATACTATAGAATTTTACCTAAAAATTCGTGGGGGGGCTCGAAGAGGCTCCAGGCTCCGGTATCGGTACGCCCGTTGAATCCACCGCCGAGAGGCCGGTGGCCATGGACCACGCCACCCGCTCCTACACCTACCTCATGGAGGACGGCAACGTCGGCCTCGCCGGCTCCCGCAACACCATCAGCCTCTTCGACTACGGCGGCGCAACGCTGGTGGTGTGGAGTTTCTGAGATGGAGCCGGTGGACGGCACCAGGACTCCCTGCTCGACTACCTCCGCATCCTCTACAAGTCCTGCATCGACACCATCCCCGCTTCGGCCTGCTGCTAGTGCTACCTCTCTGCTCTGCCCTGCTCTTCATCTATGCAATAAAATATGCATCCTTATACCACCTACTGTATACTCCTGCATGGTTACTAGCAATTGCAATCGTTTCTTGTTCGTCGATTCATAAAACCTCGGCTGCAAGCAGCACAGCACAATTATCTACTTCAACGTGCTGCGCAAGCGCAATGCACCCCAAACATATATACATCAATAAATAATTCTCTGAAATACTAGCTCGGTTCAGCATATACTATCATTCTGATGAATTTGAACAGGCAAGGTAACCAAATAGAAGAGAAGAGGCAATGCAAGCACATTTGACCTTGATTTTATTGCTCGAATTAACCGTTTCCATCACAAATCAACTACTGCTGGTAGCTAACCACCCTATCTGCCTCCCTTCCAAAAACAAAAAGGAAACAAGCTAGAGTTGAATATTTCACTGATCGGGGCCTCAAGCTCAAAGATCAGCGAAAAAGTGGTAGGTGCTGGAATCAAGCATGATGAGCCTTATTGCCGAGACCGCCGCCGCAGCAGCCAATGCAGTGAACCCAACAACATTCAGCCAGTGCCATGATTTCTGGATGGCAGACAGCTTAGGCCTCTTCACCATCAGGTACATGTGATTCGCGAGCACAAACGTCAGTGGGAAGGTGCTCAGGGCGCCCGTCAGGCTCATGAAGTCACCAAGGAATGGGAGCACTGCCGCCACCAGCGTGTTCACCGTCAGGTAGCCTCCTCTCACTACTACTCTGAACATTACGTTGTGGATTTCAAAAGGACCACCACGCCCACTTCCATATTTTGTGTCCAAGAATTCATACATTGGGCTAGCAAATATCTGGAGAATACATGAAACTCAAGTTAGTCACCAAGCCGCATCCATCAATGGCATGTTTGAAAGAGGTATATATAGGACTAAATATTGCAGTTTGGACTAGAACAAAACAAAAAGGTGTTGGCTTACGTGCAGCGCTATGACTGTCTGAAAAAATGCCGACAGATTTGCAACGGCTTTTACCCAAACTGGGCCTGTGACACTGTTTAGCAGATAACCTGATGTTGAGGAACCATAAGCCCAGTAACCCATAAAGATTACAGCATAGAGAGGCAAGGAGCCAACGGTGAACTGGAACCATAGAGCTTTCTCCATGTTCTTGACCACAGGAGGCCTTATAGTTGCCTGAAATATTATTATATATTAACCACATAATAATGCGATTTCCTTGCTGCTACTAAATTAACTAATACCAGAAAATGATCTCTGGACTCACCTGGATTTCTGGCAGCATACCAGTGTTGTAAGCAAACACAAGGTCTGCTACGGCACCTATTGTAGTGAAGACATGAGTTGAATGTGATGATTTGGGAATACTATAATCCCTCGCAGGAGAGGTTATCCCTAGCATGAAACATCAGCGATGAAACAAAAATAACATATTATTAAACACAGAAATGCAAATGAACTCATGCTATCAATAAAGACGGAGCCAAAGGATAATACCATCTCTCAATGACAGCGCAAATGCTATCACAATATAGATGAGGCTGAAAAGTGTGGAGAATCCCAACCAAATCCTGAGGGCAGATAAATAAGGGATTCCAAAGGCAAAAAGAGCACAGACGAATCCTGATATTGCAATGCAGTAAGGGAGTTTCAGAACTCCAGCATCACTAAAGAGTCCATATGTTGCCTGCAAATGGAAGGTGACAAAATAAGTTTCCGAGGAAAATATTTCGTAATTTATATTTACATCAAGAGTAAATGCAAACTATAATCTAACCTGTGTACAGCATGCTATCGACAAATTCATCGATCTAATGGAAGGAAAAGCAAGAAACGGAATTTCAGAAAAAACCTCTAGTTTAGATACAGGAGGATCAATAAACAGTAGGGCCAAGAAATATAATAGAGGGAGTCATGGGGAGAAAAGAGTTTGATGTACAAAAGAAACAGTATGTATCAATCTGAGGCGATTTCTTTTTTTCCCTGGATCATACCTTGAGAGCTTGTCCAGCTAAGATGATAAAGCCAGTGTTGATCATGAAAAGGTTAATGTATTGCAGAGCCCATGTAAGCCCGTAAATTTTTCGTCCTGTAGCCAAATCAAATTCAATTCAAAGAATGAAGAAAATGAATCATACTACTAGCTTATTCTGACTAGTATATATATAGGATGCAGAAGAACAATACTACTGCAAGTGCAGAGCTAAAAGGAAGTTAGCTACTGACCATATATGTGTCCAGCAAGATCTCTGTATCTGATATGGCGTTTGCCACCGACTTCATGAAGCCGTGCAAGCAGAGCATTAGCATACATGGAAATGGCAGCAGCTAGGAGGAGGCCGCATGTGCCGCCAATCCAGCCTAAAGGGACCATAATCGATCCAGAGTATCCTAGAACATATGCGCTGTTGACCCCGGTTGTGAGGACGAAGCCAACTTGATACCAAGGATCTGAAAGAAAATAGCAGGCAGACAGAATGGTTTTAGGATTCAACCATACATAATGTATGCTTTATTAATTATTAAAATATAAATGCAGACATAAAGAAATTTAGTAATTATTACTATGGGTTTGGCCACGTGTACATACATGGTTGTTTCCTCCACTTTGTAAATTGAATAATAAATAAAATATTAGTACTATTATTTGATTATTCTACAGATATATATTTATATACATGGTTGTTTCCTCCACTTTGTAAATTGGATAATAAATAAAAGATTAGTATTATTATTTGATTATTATACAGATATATTTATGTAGCAGAAGAAATTTCATCCATGGAAGATTAAAGCAGTGGATGGGCAAAGCAGTGGATGGCTGAAGAAGGATTCTCAATAAGGAGGTTTATATACATAAGTACATCATGAAAGTTTGTTGTTCAGTTGTTTGTGAGAAGAAGCAGGAGTGCGCATGCAGAGATACATAGTCGTAGGAGGAGGAGGAATGGCGTAATACATACCAACGCTAATCTGGTGGGCGGTATCCTCGGAGATTTGGGGCGTCTCTCCCTTCTCGTCGGCAGCGTCCATGATCTTGATGGGCAGAAGGAGGGGCACCCTGTCGGGGGGAGCCTGATGGTCTTGGTGGTGGTCGTCGTCGTAGAATTGCAGGCGCAGGGGCAGGTCCTCTGCGTCGCAGGTGAAGGACGAGGTAGCGGAGGCGGCCTATAAAAAGGGAAGGAATGAGGAGGAGGCCGCCGCAGCACAGCACGGTGATGCCGTGGCTTCCCCCCAAGACCAAAAGTAGCTCGCATCATTTCCATTTCCATTTTCATTTTCATTTTCATAAGAATCATGGATGGATGGATGTCGTCCAGAAAATTTTAAAGTGAAAAGAGCGAGAAACAATGATGGACACGTTTTTTTTTTTTTTGTTATCGCCAAACTAAAGTGGTGGGAATCCTGAGGGCATTCAATACTGATGGAGGGAGGGTTGCATGTATCAATCAATTAGAAAATCTAATGCGATTTGGTAGCTGAATGCTGCTGCTCCTCCTATCCTCGTGATATATACAGATACAAGATGGAGTGGGACGGAACGGAAGAGGGAGTGAGTGAGTGACAGTGGGGGTGTAGTTAATGCGGTGCCTAATAATGCAGTAACTAGTAGTAGTGATCTACTTACGTGCCATGTGGAACACAAGACAAGAAAAAGGGCATGTCTACACCTTCTAAAATTCCTGTTACATCGAATGTTTGACATATGTATAGAGTATTAAATATAGGCTAATTACGAAACTAATTGTACAACTTACGATTAATTTGCAAGACGAATCTTTTAAACCTAATTAGTTCATGATTTGACAACGTGGTGCTACATTAACATGTGCTAATGACGGATTAATTAGGCTTAAAAAATTCGTCTCGTAAATTAGCCTCCATCTATGTAATTGGTTTTATAATTAATCTATATTTAATGCTCCTTATTAGTATCTAAATATGTGATGTGACTGAATTTTAGAAACGACTGAAGAACCAAAAAAAAAAATCTTGAAAAAGATCGACTGAATGGCAGGTGTAGCACACAGGAACAGGCAGAGCGGCCAAACAAACTGAAGACGATGGTTCACGCAAGCTAAGCAATCATGGGGCATGGGCAATCAGCATCATCTTTCTTTCTCTAATATATATATATGCAGATCATACTATAGGTGAGTAGTGCGTGGATGGAGGAGAATAAAATTAGAATAGAAAAGAAGAAGAAGGTCAGCAAGTGGTGTGATAGAATAGAATTGATAGGGAAAGGAGGAGGGAAAGCAAAGCGGGCAGGAAAGGAAAGACGACTTACATCCATTGCTTCTCTTCTCTTCTCTTCTTGGGCTGCTGCTGCTTGCCTTTCTTTCTCTCTCGAGAGAGTCTAGTCAGGAAGCGAAGCTAATAAGAGAGGGAATCTAATCCAATCTGGACTGGACTGCCTTCCTCTGCTTGCTTGCTTTGTGGTGGTGGTCCGATTCCGATTCAATTAATGTCGTGTGGACGACGAATTGAGTTTATGGAGCACCTCGAAACTCAATCAAAATTCCAACTTTCTGATTGAAATTGATTGATTCCGTAGCGACTGGACGCCACTAGCAGGGCAGGGCAGAGAACAAATCAGCAAAAGGGAAGGAAGGCCTTTTGCTCGTTCGTTCGTTCGTCGCGGTTGACCACGACGAGCAGCACTGGCCGCCTCCGTCCCTCTCCTCTCCTCTCCGGGCACCAGCCACTAGGCAGGCTTAGATTGATCGATTTGGTTGGTCAATCGCGTCGCCCTCGTCGTTCCTCTCCCCTTTTTCTGCCTACTTTTGCTAAAATCAGCAGGCTGTGGGTGGGGAAGAGGAACAGATTGCGGCAACGAGGAGGACGAAGAAGACGAGAGCTAGCTAATGGCGGCGCGGCGGGGATTTTTTTGGTT